GTAAATGGCCCCTCGATTGGCCTATCGAAACTGCCTCGAAATGTGGAGCACCCAGAACAGACGCGAAAAGACCATCAGCAAAGGCTGGTGTGATAAGAAAGAATATTGATAAGGTTGGTATGCTCTCCCATCGCGATAAGAAAGTATGGAAGAGATATGCTTAAGGCAACGAAGAAGAAACTTTGGGTCATGGGGGATACGAATGCCCTTCTGTGATAGATCGATTTATAATGATATATTTTAAATTTTCTAAAGGTCTAGGTCTACATGCCCATAAACGTTGGAGCTGCTTGTCACACCATTATCTTTCCCTAGTCTAAAACTCCCTAGTATCTCCCATATGTGTTGACTTACCGGCTGACGAGGCTCGACTGGAGTCTCTTGGCGGGCGGCGATGTGGGCGTGGTGGGGGAGGTGGGCGACTTGGGTGTCTTCCCCGCTCGGACGCCACCACCACCCACTGACCCGGCGCCAACTGAGCCTTTATCCAGTGGCTGCCGTGTTGGCGGGGTCGCGTGTGGGGGCGGCGAGGGCGTGGCATTGGCCTTGCTGATGCTGCTGTTACTGCTGCTGCTCGATCGCTTGGCCAGAAGCATCTTGGGCGGCACTTTGGGCGTGGCCGAGGGCGAACGCCGGGCACTGGCACTCACACTGGGACTGGCCCGCGGACTCGAGACGGTACGTGAAACGGAACCCGAACCGGAACCGGAACCGGAAACCGGACTCGAACCGGAAGCCGGGGTCATGATCCGTGTGGTCGACACCTTTGACTTTACATCGTTGTAGTTTGTCTTGATCAGAGACTTATTGCTAGCGATCTTATTCATCACGGCATCCCATTTGTTTGGGGTGTGCGCCTTGCGATTTAGCGGCGATTTGGGTGATTTTGGGGATTTTGGCGTTTTTGGCGATTTCAAAACGCGCGATTTGCACGCAGAGGTTTTGGTAACCGATGACTTGCACGACTTGGGCGAGGCGATCGATGAGTTCGAGGAAACGGAGCCGCGGAAATTCTCCACCGTGCAGAGCGACGAAAGCGATGCGTGTGGACGCGGCGAGGTGGTTTTCTGAACTGAGAGCGCCGCCGCTGCCGCTGCCGCCGTCGTCATCGTCGATCGTCCCGCTGCGAAAGCTTCGTCGCCGCAAAAACTTCGGGCGCTGCCGCCGTCGACGCTGCAGTACGAGGTGCGGTTGGAGAGCGACTGAGAGAGCGTGGTGGCCGCCGAGGAGGAGGAGAGACAGCTGCTGGGCGGGCGCTGTTGGGGGGCCAGCTGATTCTGCTGCTGCTGCTGCAGTTGGGTGGGAGTGGGCTGACCTTGACCTAGGAGGAGGCAGAGAGAGAGAGAGAGAGAGGCCATTAGCATCGGACGCGCTCTTTAGAAGTATGCATACATATTAGTTAACAAGATCAACCTTCGTAACTATATAATGATTATATCTCACCCTTACGCATCGTCTGCGAGGAGTCATCTGGCGACATGTCCATGTCGACATCCAACTCGAGTTCCGGCTGCCGCATCTCCTCGTCGCAGCGGTTCTCGACGTCCGTGAAAATACCCGACGACTCCATGCAGGAGTCCTCCATCTGGGGCACCGAGGCACTCGGTTGCATCATGTCCGGACCATACAACTGGCCATCGATCACCTGGGCACGGCGATCGCCGCGATGCAGAACATCGTCCGCGTCGGATTCGGTGAAGAAATCCGAGTCTGTCATGGGATCCTGACGCCTCAAGGGAGCCGGATTTGGGGGAGGGAAGCTGGGCTGGCGACTCACTCGGCCCAAATGGGGTCCATTGCTCGGCGAGTGATCGCAAGCTCCCCGGGAAGCGGGCCGCGACATCTCGCCGTCGCCCTGGTAGCCCGTATCCAAACTGGTTACACTGGTCACGCTCGTTATGAAGCTGTTGCTCAGCTTCGAGTGCTGGGAGGTGTTCACCTGGTTTTGGGACGCCTCAACCTGCTTGACAATCTCGGACTTAATCTCAATGGGATCCAGAGGTAGTTCTTCCGGCGATGGGGTCTGCTCCATCCTCAACTGCAAGAGATTCGGATGATGCATCCTGACCATTTCCAGATTGTGCATAAGATTGTTGTGTGGCGAGTCCAGGAAATCCTTCATCTGATCTGGCGTAAGAATACCCAAGCTCTCGTCCAGATCGAAAGAGCTCTGCTTCTTCAAGAGCTGCTGTTGCAATTGCTGCAGTTGGGTTGAGGAGGAAAACGAGTTGTCCACCAGTTCGATGGAGCAGTCCAGCGTGGTGTCCGGCAAATCCAGGCCGAAACTGTAACGGGTTCGTCCTCTAACCGATGTGGAAGTCAGGGTACTCTCCAGAGCTCCATTGCCATCCATGGTGAGGTCACCATCCGGCGTTCGAGTGGGCAAAACCAGGGCACTTTGTGCCTGCTTCAACAGAGGTGATAGTAGATGAACTGGCTGAGGAGTGGCCTGACCCATTATCCTCATTCCATGTGGCGTTGTGGTAGCCGACTGGGGGGATAGGCACAGTAGCGAGTGCTGGGGAATGGATCTTCTTCCCGCCTGAAGGTGGAGCCTGCTTGGAGTTCCTCTCTCCAGTTCCTGGGTTAGGTTCAACAACTGGATGTGCCTTGGCGATTGCAACGCACTGATGTCCAGCAATCTTTCTGTGTTGAGCGTGGAGTTCAACGGCAACTTCATGTTGGTCTTGTCCGGCGCCAAACTGGTTAACGTCACGTCCAGCGTGTCGTCCGTTTCCTGGTCCAGTTTCTCAATGTTGCCGGTACACTTGGAACTCAGAATGTCCAAGCCAGATGGCATGGATATGTGTTCCAGCAGGGGTAACTGATCCATGCTTAGGGTTAAATTGGCTCCTTGGTGGATTACCTTTGTGAAGTCACCTGGTTCAATGACGGACTTTGTTAGATTCGCATTTTGACTCGTCAAAGTCGCTCCTCTATCAATGAAATTTCTAGGATTGGATGCTGAGTCTATTGTTGTGGTTACATTTTGTTCAGTTTCTATGGTTTTTGTAGTACTTCGTCCTTTGTCTATTGTCCTAGAGAATTCTTCTTTCTTATCATTCAGTGTCCTTGTGAGATTTACTCCTCTTGTAAATGTTTGAGTGCAATTCGCTGCCACATCAAAAGTCTTACTTATACTATATTCTTTTCCAACCGTTTTGGTGAGATCTCCAGCTCCCTTAAACGTTTTAGTGATATTTCCAACTCCCTCCAAAGTTTTGGTGATATTTCCAACACCCTCCACAACTTTTGTAAGATTTCCAAGTCCCGAAGCATTGGCAGAGATTGTTCTGGTGGTATCCTTGGCTGGAATAACTGGCATTGTTCTACCCATTATTGCCGACGAGTTTATGGAGTGTGTAGCGTTATTTCTGGAACACACTGTCATTTCATGAGTGGTATCCAATGAGCAGAATGTCATCACTGGTGTTTTCTGAGTGGGTCTCACTATTTGAGTGATATCCGCCGAGGGTGAACCCTTCATAATTCTCGTGCCGTCTCTGATCAGAACTTTGTTTTCATTTGGCACTGGTGACTCAATGTCCATGGTTCGTCCAAAGGTGGACAATCGAGTGCTCTCCAGTTTCATTCGATTCGATTGCTCCTCGTCCTCGCATACAAAGGTCTCCGATCTCAAGAGAGGCATCGGCGTGCTGCTGATCAACTGATCGTTTGCCACCATTCCGCGCTTCCCCACCGGAAGTGGAGTAACTGGCAGAGAGCTGGTCATGTCGCACTGACTGGACATCACTGCAGTTGCCCTTGCGCTTGATTTGGGACTGAAGTACTTCTTCAGGACGGTGGTGGTCCTCTTGCTAAGCAGGCTCACCGCATTGTTTATCCGCTCCCCACTGGCGCTCTTCTTCAGACTGCTGCCCAAATCCCGCAGAGCGGCTGAAGATGGGGCATACGAGCTAGCGGGTCGGGGCTTTCCAGGATCGCCGGGTGCTCGGAATATTTGCGTGGCCTTGGGTGCGCTCGTCGGTGGTCGTATGTGCTGGGTGGTGCTGGTGGTGGTGGTGCCGTTGGTGGTCGTTCTATTGGTGGTGCTGCCACTGCTGCTGGCCAGGCCAAAAGTACTCGGCTTTGGAAGGCGGGAGACGCCATCCAGGCGGGGAATGCGCGTTGTGGCCGGATCCTGTAAGGAAAGAGAAAACGCGTAATTAAGTGCAAAATCCGAAAAGACGCTCTCTGCACACAAATTACTCCAGATGGTGTGCGCCCCATCCGCTTGATTTCCCTTCAATTAGATTTTCCATGACCTCGACTCAGTACACTTTGAAAAATATGTGTACGCCTAACATGTTAAATCAAAAGTAATTAAGATTTCAGACCATTTTTAATAACATTCGATTTGAAGGCGATTTAAAGGAAACCTATACTTTTTTTCTCTGGAACACATTATTAGCACACTTGGATTTTTTTTCTGTGTATTAGTCTGTTGCAATGGCGCCGCATAGATCTGTTCAGCAATCCGCATTCAGCACGTGCTCAGACTTTTTGGCAGTAGCCAATATGGTGCAAAGTAGTTCAGTGGGGCGTTCCCACTTGGCACCAGTTCAACGCACTTTACAGCAGTATCCAGAAACGGGGTTGGTTCTCTCCCAAAAAGCCAATATTCTTTAGCTGATGTCATGGAAGCAGCTCCCTTTTTTGTAGAGTACATATATCCCTTTCAACCCCTCATGGCTAATTGCATTTTAATCAAATAAGGAAAAAGGAGCAACGACTTTTGGAAAAACTTTATGGCCACGCTGAACTGTTTATGGGAGCGCGAGAGGGGTGACAAAAGCAGGGGCGTCACGGGTATAATGAATTTATATCATTACGGGGGGCATTACTACATAGCCAGCTAATTATGCACGTACACGTTTGGAAAAGGGGATGGAATTATAACAAGGGGAAAACGTTGTGCTACGTAATAGATAAGAGGGACTTTCATGACATTACGTTTTGATTACGATTTATGCTGAAATACTCGTCATCATGTACTACTTCGTTTAAAAGTCATTCAAGGCTTCTTAGTTTTTTCGTACACAGATCAAATCTGGGATTCCCTTCAAACTACGAAAAAATGTTCCCAAAGTCGGGGATAACATGTGTGCTTCTTGCAGCCCGTTTGCCTTATGGCTTTAATCAACTGAAGACGATTTCACCTGTTCATCTCTTTTACTCGGGCGCGCTGATGCGAAGCTACATATCAGGAACTAAAAAGGCCATTTCAATCAAAGGAACACAGGAATACAAATGTTCATCCCAAAACATGAACTGGATGAGCCACGGAGGATGCTTTAAAGAAAACTATAGTACCGAATCCGCATCCACGGAGACCGCAACCACCTTAAAGTTGAGTAAAAAAGAACAACTGAAGCGGGCATTCAAGGAATATGGAGCAACCATTGTGGTCTTTCATGTGGTCATTTCAGTCATTTCTCTTGGGGGCTTTTATGCACTGGCGTCCTGTGGAATAAACCTGGTGCCCGTACTGGAATACCTCGGAATGGGTTCGTCGGCGTTTGCGGAGAAAGTTGCCACAGGAAGCACCTTTGTTGTGGCCTTTGCCGTTCACAAAATCTTTGCACCTGCCAGAATCAGCATCACATTGGGCATCACGCCGTTCATTGTGAGGTATTTGCGATCCAAGGGACTTCTGAAGCCAAAAGGCACATAGTGGCCTATTAAAAGTTATAATATATTTGCTCGCTACCTGTACCAATACCTCATTTCAAGTTTTAATGGAAAATTACAAATTGGAAGCATAGATCGGCAGGCCTGGAACTAATTCCCATGTTGTTTTCCATTATGTAAATGGCAAATGGAAAGAACTTTTTGGAAAACCAATTTATATTCGCTCCATATCATCGACACCATCGGCCTGAAAAGTTAGTTTAATGTGCTAAATGCTTGCCAAACAATATCCGACCGCAAACTTTGCCAACGCTTAGACTGACAAGGAAAAGTTTCTTCATCTTCATCCGGGGTTCTGTTCCTCTTTTTTTTTTTGGATGGGGGAAGGGGCTACTGAGGCGCTGAAATTTGCTGCATGCCACACAATATGAAATGCACTCGATGGCAGTTTACACAGGCCGACTTAATCGAAAATGCAATTTCAACAGACAAGTTAAACAAGCGCCGCCTGCGTCTCTAACTTTTGTGATTTCGCGGAGCGGGATGTGGAAATAAAATCTACAATGTGGCTGCCACACCCATTCCGGCCCATTCAGTGCCCTTGAACTTTTCGCGTGAAAGTTTGCGCCATCCTGTGCCCCAACCGAGTGCCGATTGTTATCAAGTGCAAACTGCACAAAAGTTTCCGCCAAAAGGACGAGGGCGCCCAAAGAACTGCTCCTTTCGCAGTCAACGCCGCCATATGTGGCCATAATTATTCGAATGTGGCACGATAACCGAGGAGCGGGAGCAGCTGTTTCTGGGATATGAAATGTTATCGATAAGCACGCCGGGGGAATTTGCATAATGACCTTATGGCAGTGCAATATGAGTCGTATCCTTGGGGCATTCGTGCGCAGGATAATGAAGCAAACATTCCGATTAAGCGGTAAATTATGGGGCTTACTGGCAATTCAAGCGAAAACGATTAATGAAACGAATTGTGCGGAAATTTCGGCCTTTTGGCTTAAAATACCAGTTTTGGTATGCCATTAACAGAACTGTACTAAGTTGAATGATTTTGTTCGTTATGTTGCAGTAATACTACTACTACTAGTAATACTACTATATATTCTCTAAATATATCTTAATAAACTGCACTGCAATACCTTGTGGACAAGAAAAACTTGAGTAGCAATCGACTCGATGCATCAAATATTTGTCACAACAACAATGTGTGTGTTTACTAGCGAGGACAAAAGGATACGACACAATGAGGACACGCATTGGTTGAAACACAAATAAATACTGTCACAGCAAAGCGACAGAAGGCGACTGAGTGCCGGTACTGAAGCCCGTAGAATCCGGCGAATCGGGGGTGGAATACGCTGTGAACCTGCCACCACCATCGAGTGGCACCACCACACCAACCAAACCACCGCACCACCAGCAGTTGCATGTGGGTTAAGCGCAAACGCATGTCCTGTTGTCATGACAGGGCAGCGGAAGTGGAAGAGGAAGAGCTGAGCGGAACCAAATAAAAATTTATCGATTTCCATGGGAGAATTATAATGGATAGCCAAGCGAACCGCCCCTTGTCCACCATAAAACTTCATTTTTCCGTCGATATTAATAGCGTGTGGCGAAGGGAGCCGATTTTCTACTCCTAGTAGTGCATGAAATACCCAAGAATGGCTGCTCTGAAGCTCTGAAGCTTATGCATGAATAATTTGCATTGCCATGTTGGGTACGAAGCCAAGCCCCACCCTTCAATCAATAGCGATTGTCGAGGTTATGAAAAGGCTAGTGAGGAAAAGGGGAAAATAATGCTGAACTGGTTTAACATTTATTGAACGATTCCCCCTTTCTCAATCGATTGGAAGGAAAGTACTTTTTCTGAATAGCCTTGGCTGTGATTTCATTTGATATGCATATTAGAAATCCAGATACCCCTTTATACACGGACCATAAATAAAATAAGTTCAACAGAAGGGAAGTAAGTAACAAGTTTGTTTTTCATATAACAATAGAAAAATCATTGAAAGATGCAGGCTTACGATATACAAATATACAAGTTAAGTATATATACATTCTATACATTCGGTCTAGAAATGCAAACATTTTCATAGTAAATGCATTTTCGTGCTTCATATTTCCCATGCAGAAGAACTCCAGCCCACTTGTATGGCTTTAAGGGCACGTACTACATATACCCGTTCGGTAAACTACCCTAATGACTTTTTACCACCCACTTTTTACCTACATTCATCCGGAATCGAGCTCAATCAACTTATGGGAACTAAAGTTGCCGGCTCCCTGTTTATTTCACTGGAGGAGCTACAAAAAACATTTTCACAAGCCATTAGCTCGTACCCATCATCAGAGGCACTAAGCGGTTTATCTCGTGCAGGACAACAAGCAACAAGGATGCAACAACAAGGACACCGACGAGGAGAGTGGCAAACATTTGCAATTAGATGGGAGCAGCCGTCCAATATACTTTGCATACTTTGCCGAGCAATAAAAAAGAGCCAATCCGACCGAGAAGAAACATTGCGCAGCTGCAGGCCATTTTTGTAGCATACTTTAATGCGCTGCGGCAGTTGGCTGCGTCGATAAATCGCCAAAATGTCTGCGGAATAACCTTTTTTAATATCTCTGGCAGTGTGTGACACAAGCTGCGCCTTGTTCTCAACCATCATTTGTTGTTTATGATTTTCCCGAGTTTTTGCAGACGCCAGCTGCCGGCGTGCGTAAAAATGAAATCACTTTTATAGACCTATTCTCGTTCTTCCGCTGTCAACCAGACAATTAATGTTCCCGTCCAGCCATATATATCTCGCACTAGACAATGCCCTTCTGTATCCGTTCGCTGCATGAGATTTATGTGCATCTTGACTAGTTTCAAGTGGCAGCAGTTAAGGCTGAGCTCAAAGACTAAAGAAATTACCCAGGTTTAAAGTTACAAATCAGCAGAGTTCAACGAAAATATATAGTATACTGCAAGGCTTTGATTAAAGAGGCCCTTGGGAGAAGAATAACTCAAAGGTCAGAACAAAGAAGTAGGTAACAAGAAAAGCCCCCAGTTTCCATCTTAATTCGTTTTGTGTACACAGGGAGGAGAAAGCAAAAACTGCTCAAGTGTTGTGTAAACGTGTTCCTTACGATTGCTGTAAAGGAATTTTCATTGTGTGCTCGCCCAAGAGTTTACGATTTATTTAATGTTGTAATTAAGTTTTGACGACATAAAGCTCTAATTAATGCGCCTCCAAGGAGAATCGCATGTGGCTAAGCTGCTTAAGGTTATAAGGACTTTAAAGAAATTGCAGTAAGAGGATTAAAGCTGGATTATGCGGCTAATGGACGCATTCAGCCATTTATTTCATAAGTTTGATTAAGAATTACTTTCGCTGCTATGTATCGCTTTAAGTACCTTTTAAAATTAAACATACGCCATCAATCGATTTGGAAATTGCCCATTCATTGAAGTGGAAAGTAACTTATATTCATTGCCCTTCTATTCTCCAAAATAGACAAGTTAACTTAACTTACAATTCGAATACGTTTCGTTACGACATTCTTAACCCAAAGGAACCAATAGAAATCGTCTAGAATATGCTTCCATTTGGTATGTAACAAGCATTTGGGCATAATTTATTATGCTCCAGGGAACAGCACAGAACGGAGCAGGACCAGACCGAAAGGAAGGACAATCCAAAGACGACGACATTTATCAAGTGTGCAACTCGAGCAAGGATCCCAGCGTCTACGTACATACTATATATTTCTCTGCTCTCCTTGACATTGCAACTTTTTGGAGCAACGCAAATTTAAAATGTAAATCGCTTGCTGCAACACGAGTTGTTATGCCCCACGGCCTTTCTATGGGGCATCCATTCTGAAAGGCTGCCCCCCTTCTCATCTTCATCAACATTTCTTGCTGCATTCGTGCCTTCATTTTCGTCCCCAATCAATTTTGTAAATTGCACTTGCGATTGATTCCAAAGCATGTTGATTCCCTCGCCCACCTTCTGCCACTTCTATGCATTCTGAATAAGATGAGAAATATTATCGCACCGTTGCCTCTGCCGCTGTTCGTAGAAGTGCAACATGGCGTATGCGCAATTTGTTGTGGTCAATGGATGTGGGGGCTGGGAAAAGTCGAGGAAAACCGCTTCGGTTAATGGAATTGCAGCCGTGTGAGCTGGATACCGAACCAGCAACACATCAATCAAGGTCGGAACTCCATGTAATATAAATTGCACTTGGTGGCAATCTTTCGTTATTATGTGTAAACACATGTCCTTGATTGCCAGTCACTACACTTCATGTCTTTTATAATTGAAGTGTGAAAGTTAATGGTTACAATGGGTTTTTATAATTATTAGTTTAATGGTTATATAAAGCCATTAAACAAGAATAACTTAATTTCATTAAATTAAATACATATTTTCTGAAAATTAAATATTTCTAAATGTACGAAATCGAATACATATTTTCTGAACATGAAATATTTCCTTTGTACTTTAATTTCTCTCAAATTCTTCTCCATTATACCAATACACATTAATATTTCAACATTCTTTTAAGCTTTTTATGGTATTGGAATCTGCCATTGCACATAATTAAACATAGAATGCAAATGTGCAATTTTTCGTTCAATTGCATATGGCATTTTGCAAAAGAAAATCGTTGACAATAATGAAGCCGATGAACATTTGTGGTTGTGTTTATTGTCATTGTTGCTGCGTTAGTTATTCTACCATCGGTTGGGGTGCATTTGGGCCAGTCTGAAACTGTTTGCGTCATTGTTCAGTTTTAGTTCTCTGCGGTTGCCTGAAATTGTCGTAATGCATTTACGGACATCGCACACACATGTGGTCCAAGTGCGGTTTTGTTGCTGGAAATGTTGGCTGTGTACTGTAAACAAGATTTTAGCAACCAACTTGCATATCTCTTGGGGTCAGCACCCATAATTTTGTTTTAAGGACTTAGAGAAAACATTTATAAACAGTTCACTAACTGGAGAAAATGGTTTTCTTTTATATCATTATTTGTTTTGTATTTATTATTCATAGCTAAAGATCTTCCAACCCCATTAAACTTTCATA